GATTGCGTCTTCATATTTTGTTTTAAGTTGAAATTCTTCAATAAAATCATCGACATCTTTATTTCTACTTGACCATCTTTGTGTTGTTTCCTTAGGATCAAATGTTCGACACTAAGCTGAAGATGTGTTATGTCGGTTGCAATTTGCACATTTTCCATTAAACGCACTTAATATATGCCTACGTATCTTAAATTTACTGCCCTTTGGTTGCAAAAAAAAAACCTTTGAGCATATAGATATAAATCATAAATACACAATATTAATCAAGTACACATGTATAAATAATAAATTAAATATAACTCAACCTAAACTCTACATGATTCTGTACGTGATTGTATAAATTCGTGATTCACGTACGTATTCCATCTAACCACCTTACTAAGAATCTATCACTAATTTGTTGAACTTTAACTAACTTACTACCAATAAAAGGAATCTATTAATCTATTCGATTGTACCTTCATATTTTGTAGCTTTGGGTTGAAATTCTTCAATGCAATCATCATCTTATTTTCACTTGTCCTTCTCTCTCTGTAAAGTTTTCTGAAGATCACATGGTCTACACCAAGCTGGCAATGTGTTATATCGGTTGTAATTTGTACATTCTCCGTTAAACGCAATCCAATATATACACGCTTGTCTCGTGCCTTGAGTTAACCTATATACTATACTTTGGTTGTAAGAAATCTTTGAATTTATAAATATAAATTATAAATGCACAACATTAATCAAGCACACGTGCATAAATAATAAATCAAAAATATAACTTACTCAAAAACCTAAGCTCCACTTTATATGATTCCATACGTGATTGTGTAAATTCGTCATAAATCACATAAATACAATCCAACCAGCTTGCTAAAAATCTTTTAAACGTTAATTAGTATATTAAAAGGAATTCATTAATCCATTCGATGGCATCTCGATCAACATTTTATTTCTACTTCCATCCGTGTGTCGTTTACTGAGGATTACATATTTGGCATTAAGCTAGCAATGTTTGCAAATTTGCACATCCTCCGTTAAACGCACTCTAATACTGTATATACTCGCTTGTTTTGATGTCTTGGTATTTTAAGGTTGCTATCCTTTGATCTTTGAACTTATAAATATCCGCGAAAATCAGAAATACCAATATAATAACGCAAAGAGGAGAGTTAAATAAATCATTCTCTCTAAAATCTACTTCAGGATTCCATCAAAAATTAAAATTTTGTGCTGCGAAAAATTGTCTAATGATTGAGATTTTAGAGTAAGCAGTAGCGGTATGAGAAAAACAACAAAAAAAGGACTAGCAAAACCAGAAGCAAAAAAGTAAACATTCAACCTGCCGCTTTAAAGAAGTAGCACCTAGTCCGAATAAGAAACGACCATTTGAGGATGAGGAAACAGAAACGCAAAATGATGGTTTGAAAAAGAGAAAGGCCAGTTTTTATGAATTACAAATGCACAATATTAATCAAGCACACAAATTAATAATAAATTAAAATACACTTACTCGAAAATCCAAGCACCACTTTACACGATTTTGTATGTTATAAATTCATAGTAATTTATATAAATATTCTATCTAACCAGCTTGTTCAAAGTCTATCACAAATATTAACTAACCTATTAAAAGAAATCCATTTGATTATAATTATCATTCCAATTGTTCATCCTTGCGCTATTTTTTTGAGGATCACATGTCTAACACAAGTATCAAACGATTATAATTTGCACAATTCCTGTGCTACTTCTTTTTTTTTAGAACAGGCTTCGTGGCAACATATATTCGTTTTTGTAATGTCATGAGTTCAGTCCACATATTTTAAATTCTCTTTTCTTTAACCGTACACGATCTATAAATAAACTTATTAAATATTTAAATATGTATTTACCATGTGTTTAGCTCCAGATCAGTACCGGTTTTTTGACCTGAAAGAATAGTGCGCCTGCTAGTGTATTTCTCAACTTCCGGTTCGAGGTTCAACGAAATCAGCGGTGTTCTTGCAATTACTCTTGAGATTTAAAAAAAGTCATCGTGATATTACATAATAACGCTTTTAATCTTCCTAAAATTTTTTTTCAAAAAAATAAGTGATACTTTTTGAAAAAGTCAATAGGGCGTTGTTGCAAGTCTGCCAGTAGTTCATTATAGCTAGAATTCAAAAAATTATGCATTTTTTTTTTTAAACTGCATATATTTTCGTGTCTTAACATGCATCAAGAAAAGTTCTTACAAATATAATCACATTTCTTTATTTAGTTATTACACAATTATTGACTGGAATGTATAACGTGTAACTATTGTGTTAAATTGTTATCATGTGAGCATAGTAAATTATATTGTGTATGACTGTCCCTATAATTATGGACAACCTCAGTATAACGTAATAATTGAAGTTGGTCAAATTCTAAACAGTCAAATCTTTAAGGCACATTCAATTATTTGAATTATCGATGTTTTTATCTCCGTGAAGAGTTAATTAAGGCAAGTTATGACGAAGAAAAGGAAACTAATAAAAAAATCAGTAAACCACATATTTCTACTAATGTTTTTGAAATTATTATTAAATAAATTATAATAATTATTAAATTATATTTTTAAATTTGGATAAATGTATGAGTCGCACCCTGCGATATGCTTATATATCGCATGTATATACAAATTATAAATTGCCATCTAAAAATAATAAAAATAAACTTGGATGTTTAGTTAGGATTAGAGTTAGGTAGAGTTAGGGTGCAAAAAAGATCTTATAATAAAATTTTGCAAGGGATTTTTTTTGTTATAGAGCGAAAGATAGTTTCATATGTTAAATTTTGGGTTTTGACAAAACGAACATTTGTTTTGAAATTTCCTGCTTGTGCTACATTACATGTAATCTTGAAGTTTGATTGGCCAGTCATTAAAATGCGATGTATAAGCACATCGCAGGGTTGTGATGTCTAATTAAGTCCTTTAAATTTTGTACTTGTTAAATAAAAGTTCAAGCATTTCCTTTTCAAATTATATAGATATATTTATGGTGGTATAATTGTCTGGAGCGTAGCGAAGGACTTTTAAGGTTTATGTATGGTAATACAAAAGTTACGTTTTTGATGCATCAATAGTTACATTCTTGATCAATTAATTAGATATTTTATATTGATTCATCAAAAATGTAATTTTGAAAATTCATGTCTGTCCGCACGCGTGTCTATATTTGTACTTTAGTGTAACAAAAGCATGCATATCACATGTTTGTGCAATATGATGATTATCATGTGCTCCGGACACACAATGCTACGCATTAACCTAGTTCTATTCAATAAAGCTGATGCGACTACAATCCTTGGTCTTTTAACTGCTGCTAGTGAATTTGGTCTCGAAGAATTAGTTAATACTGCGCAAACACAATTAGTTAAGAATTATGTATCGTAGATACGTCTAAATTTTGCTAAAGTTTACAAAATATGTTTTGAAAGTGATGATTTTAAAACATTACAAGAGGTTTGTAATAATAT